TGCGGCTTCCTTGAGTAGAAAAACAATAGGGCAATCTAGTGGCTTGTCATCTTCTGACGATGAGGTTGATCCTATGGATCATGAAGATGAAGGTTTGTTGACCATTGCTTTTAATTAAATTGTCTTTTCCCATAACATATGGAAAAGTGTTTTTATTTTTCGTAAGTTGGTTAGCATTTCTAATGACTGGTTTATCTTTCATGAGATTACAATTTAGCAAAAATCCTTTTGGTGTGAACATTACAAAGTTTGCTCTAGTAGACAACCTTTTGATGGTTAAAGCTTCCTTGTTGTCCAAGTGATTTTTTTTTCATCAAGCACTTTTCTTTTGGGAGGGAGGGAGATTGGTTGTTTAAATGGTCAGGAATCACTTGCATTTGTCTGTTTAAAAGATTGATGATGAACATTATCCTTGAAAGGCTTATAGCTTTCTAAACTTCTGGCTTAAATTAGCTTGGAATGTTCCATCATTTTCTTGTGCCATTTTCTCTAGGTTCCAGTCATCTGTATGAACCTCTTGGTGGTTTTCTCTGATTGAAAATAAAACAGAGGAAAAAAATCACATTTTAATTAATAAATTTACCCCATTCCAGAACATTGATGAAGATGGCCAAATAAAAGTGATGAAGGTTCAACACCGCTCATTGGCCTTCCTCATCCCAATCTATCTTACCTCTTTTAGTTCATCAATTGTTTACAATTTATTTCTTGTGTTAAATCTTTGTTTGATGGTTTGTCTGTTCTACTTTCTTCTCTTCTTAAACAGATCAAAATGGTAGGAGTTTCAAGGAGCAAAGAAAAGCACACTATGATGAGTATTTGAAAATCAAGGAATTGAGATGTACTATTGTTGTTTTAAAAATGATGTAATTTTAATTATATACTTTGATAATATATTTTAATACATTATCAACATTATATTAATTAAACCTACATATGATATTAATTATGAGTTAAAATTTAATTTAAAAAATGCTAATAGATAAAGCATAATGAATACTTCAAACTTAAAATTATGTATTTATAACACAATCAACATAATTAGTATATTTTCTACAAATTTAATTTCATGTACTTACACAAATAAAATATTTCATTTCAAAATTTTATAAAATACAATTTTATAAATATCTTAAAAAATTAAAATGTAAATAACAAGAAAAATATATACATTTTACAAAAAAAAAAACAGATTTCGTAAATTGTTTTCAGAAAAATTAACCAAACAGTGTAAAACATTTTACAATGCAACATCCAAACAATGTAATTAATTTTCTGGAATTGGTTTTCCAAAAATTGATTTTTCAGAAAATCAATTACAGCCAAACAAACAGATCCTAAATTTCATTTATGATCTATTCTTAAGGGTGAACTATTTATTTTTAAGGTCAAAAAATAATAATTTTTTAGAAATTACACTTTTAGTCTCTCAATTTTTTTCAAGTTTCTATTTTGATCATCAAACTTTCAAAAATCACATTTTAATCACTAGTAAATTTTTTGGGATATTACATAATGGGTTTCTCACAACAGGTAGGGTGCTGCTCGGTGGTTGATGCAGAGCTGTGGGGTATCTTCTCGGGCTTGACTATCGCCTGGGAGCGGGGTTTTCGCCAGGTGATTCTGGAGTCGGATTGCAAAGATGCTGTTGCGGTGGTTCAAGCTCAGCCGAGGGTGAATGGAGTTTTGCCGATGGTGCCGCATATTCAGGAGCTTGTTCGGCGGGACTGGATTATTCATAGCAGATATGTTCCCCGAGAAAGCAATCGGGTTGCTAGTGGTTTGGCTCAACTGGCTTGGATTATGACTGAACACTTCCAAAGATTCTCGGAGCCACCAGCCGAGACTGAAAGCATGTTTCGCCTAGAGGAAGCTGCGTGTGAAGCTTGATTGAGAGTCTTACTCTTTCCACTGTAATAAAAATAATAATAATAATAATAAAGGCTAACCTTTTGGTGCCTTAAAGAGGATTGCACGATGCCTGTAAGGTCCCATTGATAGGCTGCCAATGAGGAGTACAACACACTTCTGAAAATCCCTCAATCTCCAACTAATTTCAGCGTTTCTGATCAATCTTTTGAAAAGTTCCTCCGGATGTTTTGTACGCAGATTTTAGTTATATCGACATCGCGTAAAGTCAAGTGACCATCAAAGAAATTAGTGCCTTCAATATTGGTCGGCTAAGTTATGATGATGCATTCCAATATTATGAAATTCAGAAGTGCACGGCATGTCATGGGTTCTGAAACTTTTAGGGATTTAAGATTTAGGAATTTGGAGTGATGATTAGGACGATTGTTAGTCATTGGGTAGATAATATCAAATGGATGGCTATTCGGTGACATAGGCGGTGTCCGAAGATAACAAACATCGAATGATAATGGGGTTTGAAATTAAACACTTTTTAAGGTTTTAAATTTTTTTAATACTTGTATAGAAATTTATTACTATTTTATAATGTGTAATGACCATTTTATAATAATTCAATAAGTTTAATGACCATTGTACAAATTTTAAAATTCTAGTGACAAAAAAAATCCTTTTTACATAATACAATGACTATCCTTGGCATTTTTTGTTTAATTTTTTACCTCAAAGTATCTCTTTAGATGGCGTCTTAAATGTTGTCACTCTCTTATTCTTTTGAGTTCATTGCATTATATATCTTCCAAATTATGATCTTTATTTTAAATTAATCCTTAATTTTTCTAATATTCTAATTCCATTTTCAAATTATGATTCACAGTCCAAATTAGTCTTTAAAACTTTTGAAATTTCAATTTCACCCCTAAACTATGATCCTCATTTTAAATTAGTTCTTAAACTTTTCAATCTTCCAATTTCATCATCAGATTCATCCAAATATAGAATTAATTTCAACCATAGTTTAACCTAAATTTTAATTTTTAAAACATATAATAATATAACTTTGCCTAACAATTTTATTAACAAATGATGCGATTAGGATATACACATAGTTTGGGATGAAATTGGAATGTTCAAAAAGTTTAGGGACTAATTTAGAACGAAGATCATAGTTTGAGGATAGAATTGAAATGTTTAAAAGTTTGAGGATGAATTTAGAATGATAGTCGTATTTTAAGAAGGAAATTAAATGTTTAAAAGTTTACGGACTAATTTAAAATAAATATCATAATTTAAGAACATATGATGCAATCAGCTGTGTTCTTTTTTACTTATATTTTTATTTAGATCTAAATAAACATTCTATTCATTTTGATTTCTTTATTTTTCATATTCATGAAGCATTGATATTTGTCTACTTTTATAGTACGATTTTATCTATTATTATGATTGTTTCATGTTTTATGTTGCATTCACCACGTTGTATCTATTGATCAGAAAATGTCGGCAGTCCCCTATTGTTAGATCTCTTGTTCTCGAAAAAAATTTCCAATAATAGTTGATGGTGCTCTAAAGTCGTTGAATGGTTTAAACTACAGGCGTCTTTCAAATTATCGTGTAGTTCAAACAATATCTAATGATTACTATAACAAACACCCTAATTAAAAGATAATTTTTAACATCTTCTATAATCTATTTTCCCCCTTGAAGAACTTGGATTGATCACCATTAACAAGGCCTTGGTAAGTTACCCGAGTAATGCACTTCATAATTCGACCAGTCCACCCTTCATTAAGACCCATTGTTTATAAGTATAAAAGTTTCAAAACAACTATCATACAAATAAACATGATTTTAAAACAATTTTTCCAATTATATAAATAAACAATTATTGGTACAATTAAAACTTTTATCCTTAATATTTATGTCTTTTATGAGTTTGATTCTCATTTTCTTTAAATTACATTTGGCCATAATCTTTTAAAAGTAAATGAATAATTATTTTTAACAAAAATAATAAAAAAAATTAAAATTTTAGGGTAAAGTACACAAATTACCCCATGATTATGAGATGTTGCTTTGTTGAGTTTCCTAACTATTAAAGGTTACAAAATAGTTCCCCGGCTATAGGGTGTTGTTCTATTGAGTCCCCTGACTATTAAAAGTAATTAAATGGTCATCTGACTATTCATATATTTTAAATTCGTCATTTTCAATTAAAAATTGGCGGTCGTCTGAGCTGGATATTAACCTGTTAACTGAGATATGATAAATTTGATCCTAGAACCATTTGAATTGTAGACATATTATGTCATGTTGTTGATACCTCATGTCACGCCAATCAAATTTTTAACAGAAAATGACGAGTTTGGATAGTGGCGGATGCATATAGAACCCACGGTGGGCACGTGCTCACTCTGAAATCTGAATTTATTTATGTTAGTTGTTCAATTACTTAAGGTGCCCACCCTGAAATTTTATTTGTGCCCACCCCATACGAAATTTTTTTGTTATTAATACATATGTGCCCACATTGAAAAATATTTTTGGATTTGCCACTGAGTTTGAAACATATAAATAGTCGAATAATCATTTCGTTACTTTTAATAGTCAGGGATTCAGCAAAATAATGTCCTATAGTTGAGAATAATTTTATAACTTTTAATAGTACAGAGATTTAAGAAAACAACACCTATAAATAAGGAACATTTGTATACTTTATCTAAATTTTTAGCATAGTTACTTTGACATCTCGCTTGTAGTGATATATAATTCATGCATTTTTTTATCATTTGTATACTATTCTTACTTTAATTATTTTTATAATGTTAAATAATTTTTTGATGTGATATATAAAATATCATTCAATATTTTAATTAAAAATTATATACATATTTATTTTTTACAGATTAAGAGTCAAATTTAACTTATAAATAAATAAGGATTAATTTGAACAAAGTGTAGATATTAAGGACTACAATTTGCGTTATACATTTTATATGTAATATTAACCTATGCTGCTGTAACGGAAATATCAAAACGTCGGTTAAAAAGTGCCACGTGTAAGGTTTCCTACAAGCAATTGCTAACCGTCTTCGTTTATTTATGATTTTTAATTTTTTTTTTAGTAGTAAAAAAATAAATAAATGCTGAAAATGACTGAGATTGGTACGGCAGCGATATGAAGCAAAAACCATGGCCGGATCGATCCGACGGCGCCCGGTTCACTGCTTTTCCGTTGTCAAAACCCGACGATAATGAAGAAAAGATCAGATTATCCAGGCCTTTCAAGATCGGTTCAAAACCACCGCTAACATCCCCGACCGAGGGTCCTGATTTCTCGGCACTCCCTTTCGACATATTAACGAAAATCGCGGCGTCTTTTAATTTCCCAAACCTTCTAGCTGCGTCGCTGGTTTGCCGTTCATGGAGGGATGGACTCCAGCCGTTGAGGGAAGCGATGGTGCTGCTGCGTTACGGGAAGCGATTCAAACACGGCCGAGGCGGTGTTCGACGCAATTTGGATAAAGCTCTTGACTCTTTCTTGAAAGGCGCTGTTCGTGGATCTACGCTTGCGATGGTCGATGCGGGGCTTATTTACTGGGAAAGAGGTCTAAAGGAAGAGGCAATTGCTCTTTATCAGAAAGCCGCCGTCCTCGGCGACCCTGCCGGCCAGTGTAATCTCGGAATTTCCTACTTGCACGGTATTTTCGCCAGAATTACTAACCATTTTCCATAAATCTTAGCTAATTATTCAATTTCATATGATCTTATATAAAAATATCTTTCAGCTCAACCTCAAAATCACAAAGAAACCGTAAAATGGTTGTATCAAGCTTCAATTGGGGGACATGTTCGAGCCCACTACCAGTTAGCGCTTTGCTTGCATCAAGGTCTTGGAGTTCATCGAAATCTTCACGAAGCAGTAAGAACTTTTCTTGCCCATTTTAATTGGTTGTATGCATCCCGAATGGAAGCCCCATTTTAGTTGTATTCTTAGGAAATTACTGAAACTAAGGGGTGAAGCTGGGAGTTTGTTTGCAGCTGGAATTAATTGGCCTCTTGTTAAGAGTAGATGGATATGGGAAAATATTACGTTCAAGAAAGATAAGGTGCTGTGGCATTAGCTCAGTTTGGGATAGTAACGGATGATGCATGCGGTTTTTGTGGCAATGCTATGGAGTCAAGGAACCATCTGTTTTCTGAGTGTTCGTACTTGAGGAGAGTTTGGGGGAATGTCATGCAAGTCTGTAAATTGTCCCATAGGCCTATGTGTTGGGAATTTTGGACGACAGTTTGTTGTAGGCTGTGGATACTTTGAAGGGGAGATCGCTTATTGTTTGAATCCTCAAGCTGGCTTGGACGGGTTCCTGTACTGCATTTGGGAGGAGCATAATCGAAGGCAGTTTAGAGGTGTTAGCCTCTCGGCTGATGACATTGTTGAGTGTATAAAAGAGATCGTTCATATTAGATTGTATAGACATTGTATAGGCAAGGAAGATAGGGTTACTGTGCTTTTCTGCACTAATTGGGGGGATTCTTTAGGCTGTGGTTTCCCGGTATAGGATTTATTTCGCTGTAGCAGCTTGTTCTGCTCTCCTGGATAATATAAGAAACAAATACTTATCCCCAAAAAAAAACACTTAGGTGATTAGCCAACACCGCTATTGCTGAGTAATAACCAATAAGTAGCTTTGTTGCATATTAACTTTCAGGCTAAATGGTATCTCAAAGCTGCTGAAGGTGGATATGTTCGTGCAATGTACAATGCTTCACTTTGTTATTCATCTGGGGTAGGCTTGTCGCAAAGTCGTCGACATGCAAGGAAATGGATGAGGAGGGCAGCTGATCGTGGTCATAGCAAAGCTCAATTTGAACATGGACTTGCTTTGTTTTCTGTATGTCACATTCTTAATTCTTTGTTTCTGAGTAGATAAACAATAATAGAATCACGTACTAATGCAACTAGGATTCTCTAGAAACAAATGACCTCCGAAAAGACTTTGTTTCACTTAAAATATCCATATCAAACCCCCAAGACACGTTGAAGTAGATTGGGGAAATATGAATGAATGAAAATAATGGGATTGCTCTAGTTTGTTAAGAAAGTAAAATGTATGGAAGTGTGTTTTTTGATCCAAGTCTGGTTTTCTTTATCTGTCTGATCATTATGTCCCTTTTCTAGGGCATGCATGTGAGCTAATAACGCTATACATTTAATTGTTGAGTAACATAAACAACGACTGTTAATTTATCCTCTAGGCATGTTGAAATAAATGGAGAAGCATGAATGAATGAAAACAATGTGGCTGTTGTAGTTGGCTAAGAGAGAGACAAATCTATGCAAGCTTCTTTGATAATTTGTCTGATCATTTTTTCCCTTCTTTGTCATGCATGTATGCTAATAACTATTTCTTGAACTCTTCAGTTTTCTTAAAGTACCAATGCCTGACAGTCTTTTATGATAACATTGTGTCTACTACATTGGCTACTTAATGCGGATTTTGATGATAATACTTGGACAGGAAGGGGAAATGATGAAAGCTGTAGTGTATCTTGAACTTGCTACACGTTCCGGTGAGACAGCTGCTACTCATGTAAAAAATGTATTACTTCAACAACTCTCGGCAACTGCTCGTGAACGTGCGCTTCTCCTTGCTGATAATTGGCGTGCTTTACCTTCATCTCGCTAAGTATGTCAAGACTGCATAACTTTTATTAATATACTCCTGTAATTGCCTCTTTTTCCCTTGATTTTCTTACGCTTGATGAGTGACAATTATAAATACATAGATGTTTTAACCATATTGGGTATTGCCTAAAATGCAAATGTTTGTGTGTGTATATATATTTCTAAAAAAAATATTTTTTGTGTCATGTTTACAAGGTATAATTATCTTTTTGCTCCCAACTTTACTACTTAAGTAATTATAGTCCTTGAACTTTTAATGTGTTTTTCCCGTGAACTCTTAATTTGTTTTATCAACTTTATCTAAATGTGACAACTGACAACAATAACGATGTCATTAAGTTGAAGTCGATGATTTTATCATTTTTACTACTGTTGAAAATTAGAAGGAAAAAAATTGAATAAAAAAGACAGCTAATTTATTTTTACTGAAACATTGATATCAATTTTTAAAAAAAAATTAATATATAGTTTTTAAATTTTTTATGGTGTGGTAGAAAATAATCAAATAGCTAATGTCAACATTTTAATACGAGTTAGTATCTAAATTATTAGTCTTTATTTCATTCTAATATCCATTGTTAAAAATTAACAGAATTTTTGCACGTGACAGTTTTTCATGGGTAAATTACACAATTCATACCCTAACTATATTCTCACTCTTATTTTGGTCATTAAAGTTTACAAATTTTCAATTTAAATTCTCAACTTTCAAATTGATCTTGTTTTATTTACTCTAATTTATTTTATTAATAATATTTTTGTGACATGATATTTCTTTTATTTTATTAATATCAATTAAAATAAAAAAAATAAATTTGAAAGTTAGAGTGATTAAATTAGGAGTATTTTGAACATTATTGAATTAGATCAAAACCATTTAACTTCAATGACCAAAATAGGAGTGAGAAAATAATTAGGGGATGAATGATGTAATTTATCCATAAAAAAGTGTCAAGTTGTAATAGTTATGTTAAGTTTTAACAGTGTGGTACTAAAATGAAATAAAAACTAAATATTAGGTATAATTTTGAAAAAAATGAAAGTTTAAGTACTAAAACAAATCAAAACTTATAGTTTAGATACTAAACATGTCATTTACCCTAAATATAATATAGAGTTATTGTTCTCTTAGATTTGGGTAACTTAAAAAAATATAGGATAAATTACAAATTTCACTATTGAACTTTACTTCTCTCGTATTTTGCTCACTAAACTTTAAGGTGGTGTTTGGTTTAAGTAATCTGGGATTACCGGGGGAATGACATTGGCAAACATTCCTAACCCCCGATAATCTTTTATTCCCAACAGTGGTATTTGGGGGTATATTTCTGGGAATGTGATTACCCCCTTCTCTTAAGTATTGTTAGATTACCGGCATTTTGGACTAAAATGCCCTTAATTTTTTCTCAAAAATATCCTTCTTCTGTCGTTGAATAATAAAAATTCTACGAATGTTAAATTACAAATTTATACTTAAACTATTTTAGATTTACAAAAGAAGTCCATAATTAGAATTTTATATGAAGTTCAGGGGTTAAAATAAAATTTTACCCTTTCATTAAACCTATTTATCTTTTCAATTTTGTAAAAAATTATATAAATTTTATGAATTTAAAATTTTTAAAGAAAATATATAAATTCATTATAGTAATATTATAGTAGAATTCAACTTGTTAAAAAAATATATAATAAGGACAATTTGGTAAAATATACATTTCAATAATCTTTTATTCCTTTAACCAAACACTGTAATCTTACATTCCTGCTAAATGAACCAAACACAAAATACAACATTCCCAGTAATCTTATTCCCACTGGTAATCTATTCTCAATGGTAATCTTACATTCCATGAACCAAACGCACTCTAAGAGTTTTCAATATCCTCATTGAACTTAATATATTGAGTTTTTTTTGTCACTGAACTTTACTCTCTCATATTTTGGTCATTCTGTTGTTAAATAGTTAACAATATTTAAAACGATATCGTTTAAAAAATAAAACTTTCACCAAAACGACGTCGTTTTGTATCTATATAACTGCTCATTTTAACGCCGTTAAATATTTAACGACCTAGTGACCAAAAAACCAATGTATTAAGTTCAGTGATGCAATTGAAAAGATTTAAAGTATAGTGAGTGAAATAAGAGAGAGTAAAGTTTCATTACCAAATTGTATTTTTCCCAAAAATATAAAGGTAAACTACATAAATGGTCACTTTCATTTGAGTTTTATAAATTTGTCCTCACCGAGTTCAAAAAAAACATAAGATTTAGTCATTTTCGTCTTATTTTAATTAGGATGTGGTCACTGAAGGCTAACGATCGTTAAACTTTTAACGGTTTGCTAATGTAACATGATAAATATATAAAATTAAAATTATATCATTTCCACGTATACAATACGTGGATTAAGTTTTGGTCATTTTCCTTTGAAAATATAAGTTTTGGTCACTTACATTATTGTTTTATTAAAGTTTGGTCACTTGCGTTATTGTTTTATTAAGTTTTGGTCACTTTTCGTTAAAAAAACATAAGTTTTGGTCACTTATGTTATTGTTTTACTAAATTTTGGTCACTTATGTTATCGTTTTATTAAGTTTTGGTCACTTACGTTATTGTTTTGTTAAGTTTTGGTCACATGGACATTGAATGTCGTTAGTTTGATGACGTAACCCCCAATATTACTCATTTTCCCCCACTTCTTCTTTAGACATCTCTGCTTCATTGCACCATTTGCCTTCTTTCAATGACTCATTCTGCATTTCAAGAACAATGAAAAATTTCCAACTTTCGGTAACAAATAATAACACCAAAAGTTTAGAGAAAAAATGAGAGGGTGGACATTTAGAGATAAAATGAAGCAAGGTAATCTTAGTTATACAAACTAAAATGAGGCAGTGGCGTCGCCGTGGTAGTGAGTCTTTTCATAGTTTTAATGGAGAATTCTGCACATTTTTCACTATCTTCATTACTTCTTTTTATTTTTTTTATAACTGAGAATCCACTTAATTTGACTTCAAATGATTAGAAACAATAAGGCTATTGAAATGGAGCATAGATGTCTGAAGAAGATGCGGGGATAAGATGAACAATATAGGGGTTGGGGAGAAAAATATTAAAAAATTGGTAAATTGAAATGTTATCCCTAAACTAATTTGAATTTACAAAAAGACCTATAATTAGTATTTTGTCTAAAGTTTAGGGATTAAAATAAAAATTAAACCATTTTACTAATGGGCCACGTCATCAAACTAACGGTATTTAACGTCCAAGTGACCAAAACTCAATTAGACAATAACGTAAGTGACCAAAACTTACGTTTTTTTAAAGGAGAGTGATAAAAACTTAATCCATGTATTATCTATGTTAAAATGATCTAATTTTAATTTTATATATTTACCGTGTCACATTAGTAAACCGTTAAAAGTTTAACGACCATTAACCTTAAGTGGCCACATATTAATTAAAGCGAAACAAAAGTGACCAAATCTTATGTTTTTTAATTCAGTGAGGAAAAGTTTACAAAACTCAAACGAAAGTGTTCATCTCTGTAGTTTAGTTATGATTTTGAAAAAATTAAAAGTTTAGGTGCTAAAATAAATCAAAACTAATAGTTTAGGTACTAAACTATTAGTTTACCTAAATATATTACAGAGATATTGTTCTCTTAAGATAAAGAACATAATTTTTTTAAAAAATTAAAATAAATGAACTGATAAAATTAAAAGGTAAAAGAATATTGTTTCCCTACCTAAAATTACTAAATTGCTCATAAACTTATTTAAGGGCCCGACCTTAAAGAAGATAATGTGTGATTTAGGTCAGATGGATCAATTCAATTTAAATTATCATTTAATGATATATGTTGTTTTAATTTAAAATTGATTATAAAGGCATATAAACATCAATATAATTTTATTTTGAATTATTTTATTGTTTTTAAGATATTGAAGCAGAATTAGAAATGAGCCTAAACTCAGTATAAAAATCAATTTGTTTTTATTAATAAGAAGTAAATAAAAGATTGTTTTTCTTCAAATATAATTCTCAATCGTTCGACATTTAGCGTTCATACTCTTGATATTTTCTGTGTTCGAACATAAGATTTCAAAAAATAATAATAATTCATTTATCGTTGATATTGTTTGATTTGTGTTATAAAAATTAAAATTGAATATGAAAATTCTCACACCACCCGGCAGCTCATGCATCAATTGAATAAGAAAATTTAATTTATCTAGTTTTGAACTGCAAAGTATAGATATCATAAAATTCATTTTATATATTATATATTATATTCACTCGTTATGCTTCACAAATATATATACAAATTATTATTTTCTAACAGACAACGATAATTAAAAGATAATGTATGTTCAGAACTTTTTAAGATATTGATAATAAATATATCTTGCAAACGTAATTACTTGAGTTTAAGTCTTCTAAAAAATAATATTCTCTTTTATTAGTAAGATCATTCATATACAAATTATTAAATAAAACAATTGGCAATCAATTGATGGCTCAAATATTTAAACTGAAGCATGTCATGTATTTGGGGACAACTTGTATAGGTTAGTGTATATATATAATTGGATTAATAGGTTTCATCGATTTTTTTTTATTTCCATTGTTGTAGTAATATTCAAAGTATTTTGTATTACTTGAATCTTTTTTTTAATCTGTGTCATATCACTTATTTATAGATATTTTCCGTATCATATAATAGTAATACCCGTCAAAACCAATTCTTACAAAATAATCTAGAGTAAAGTATACAAATGGTCCCCCAACTGTAGGGTACTTCTTTATTAAATCTTTCGACTATTAAAAGTTATAAAATAGTCCTTCAGCTATAGAATGTTGATTTATTAAGTCCTCGACTATTAAAAGTTACAAAATGGTCACCAAACTATTCATTATATTATAAACTCGTCATTTTCTGTTAAAAATTTGGCGGTTGTCTAAGCTGGATGTTAACACGATGATTGAGATATGATAGTCGTTTGAGATTCTGAAATAAGATTTTATCGTATCACAGTCAGTAGGTTAATGTTCAGCTCAAAATACCGTCAAATTTTTAATAGAAAATGATGAGTTTGGAACATAATGA